TCACTGGACTCTCTCTCTACATCTACCTTCCAAGTCATTGTCTGCTCAGAAGCTAAGCTAATCTTCCTAGAGTATAGCTCTGACTATGAGGCTTTCCTGCTTAAACTTTTCACTGCTACAGGGCAAGTGATCTGGCCACTGACCAGTCTTCCAGCCTCATGCCACTTCATCTCACCCTACTCTCCTAGTTTTGCTCTGCATTTCAACCTCATTGGACCTTCTGGTTCCTCAGGCACACCATGTTCCCTCCTGCCACAGGATCTTTGCATGTTCTGCTTCCCCAGCCTAGAATGACCCCCATCCCCAACCCTCTTCTGCCTAGCTGACCTCAATTTATCCTTCAGGTCTAACATGACCCCAGAAAAGCTTGCCCAACATATCTCCTGGGTCAGGTCTTAATTATGCCCTTAGGAGGAATCACAAGGGTTGCTTCTTATCAGAGTTCTGCCTCAGTTTGCAAACACATATATAACTATGATAAATTACAACTGATTTTCTCTGCTCAACTAGAAGTTCCAGGAGAGCAAGGAATTGATTTGCTTTCACTCATTCCTACATTCCCAGTCCCTAAAAAAGTGTTCTAATAACTGCATACATGACCAAATTTACCTGGGCAACCTGGTCCAGCTCCCAAAAAGGGCCTTGGGCCTGTAGGAGCATGTCCAGTGAGGGCTCCGCTGGCTCCTCCAATGCTGGCCATCCCACCTGTTGTAGCCACACTTCAATCTGGAGGGGCACAAGCAGGGAAAGGTGAGGAAGCTCCTGTGGGTGATCATGCTGAGACCAGGTGCAATGCTCACTCTGGGCCAGTATTCCCCACCTGGTGCAGCCTGCCCTCCTGGGCCTCCAACGTCTGGACCAACTCTAGGGCCTGTACTCGCTGGTTGCCCTGCAGGGTCAGGTGGTGCAGCAGTCTGTCCACACGGCCATACAGCTCACCAGCCTTGTCCACTGCTGGCCTGGTATAGGATACAGCAGTCTTAGGGGCCCCTGCTATTCCCCTTTCTCCACTCCTGGGATCCTGGGACCCACAAGACTGGCCGGTTCTGATGCAGCCAGTTGAGTCCTTGGCATGAGATCTGGTAGGCTGAGCTGGGGCAAGATCTGGGAGCTGGACTTGCACCTACCTGTAGTCTGGACTCAGGGTCACCTCTGGAACCTCCTGCTTCAGCCACTCTAGCTCCGTGCCCCCCTGGCATTGTAGCCATGCTAGCCGTGGCGAGTCTAGCACCTGCTGCATCAAGACCCGTGCCTGCCGTAGCAGTCGACCAACTTCCTGTGATTGAGGGCAACAGGCAAGTGGAGGCGGCCATCAGAGACAAGGAGGGAGACAGAGAGCACTTAGGGGTTGCAATGGAACACTCACCCCAGACTCTGTGGGCTGGGGCACAGCCTTCATACTCTCTATGGCCCCCTGGAGCAGGGCACAAACCTCTTGGCAGCTCTGCAGTAGAGCTTCCAGACGCTGTGAGAAAGAGGGGCATGA